CAGCAGAATTACATTCGTCTACCACTTCACACCAACTTCAACCTGAAGAAACGCCACTAAAACGGGCAAAACTCTATGTACTAGCGTTACTCATTATGTTCTATCTACCGATGATATCTGCTAATGGGATCAGCATCACATCGTTCAATAAAAAGCCTGGGATTCATTTTGAACACATGGGTTCAATCATGAGATCACCAGCAGAATGGACAATCATAGCCTACTATGATATAAGTTTTCTACAGTTAGAGGTCGAATTTATCACAAATGCAACTAACTCATTGGCAACCATATGTGACCAAATGAATGGTTATAACAATTGCTGGGTCTTAATTGACCAATTCAAAATGACAAACTTAGAAATGTTGTCGGCGAGTATGGTACTACAACCTAAACGAAAGAAGAGAGGTGCCATAGACATCATTGGTAACGTCGCAAATGCGGTGTTTGGTGTTCTGGATTCTGAGTATGCTAAACAAATGGCTCAGACTATCCAACACTTAAAAGACAACGACGATCACCTCATTCATCTATTGAAAAATCAAACGTCAATATTAGATTCTACATTAAACATCATGAAGAAAGATCGCCAACTCGCGCAATCAACTTTCGAATTGACAGTCAAACGGATGACTGATTTACAGAATAAAATACAAAAGGATGAAGATGAGATTTCTCATCTTAAACTTTATCAACTGTTCACCGCAATCGCAACACAATTGCTGAGTGTAACTACCAACGTGCAGTTTTACGAGTCTGCAATTTTAGGCGTTTTAACTGATACCAATCATGGTAAAATCAGTCCGCTTCTGTTGACACCAGTGCAGCTTAATAATGAAATAACTACGATTCGAGAGCATCTCAATCCAACCACGCGTCTGCCAGGGAATACGAGCAACATAGCTGAACTCTATTCATTAATGACCGTTACCAGCGGTCTAGTCGACACCAAAGTTCTGTTTCGGATAACACTGCCAATAGTCAGTGATCAAATATTTGATTTGTTCTCTGTAATTCCAATACCAGGGGTTAAAGACAGCATCTATCAGCAAATAACACCATGTACTACTCTAATAGCATTCACCGCTCACAGGAATGAATATCTCACCATGTCAGACTTACAGTTAAGTCAATGCAGAACGTTACAAGACGATCAGTATTTGTGTAGTAATACCCAAGAAGTATACTCTCCAGGTTCCGGCAAATGTGAGTGTGAACTTGATCTATTTAATAACTATACGGCATCCTGTTCCTGGCAACGTTTTAATATGAATGCATTATGGTTCCAACCGATAGCACGAAATCATTGGGTGTTCGCGACGAGAGAACCTGTGAGACTAAACGTAGTATGTATCAAAGAGCAGTCACAAATAACATTGCAAGACACTGGATTAATGGAATTACCTCCAGGGTGTGTACTTAAACATACCACAACATCACTATATAGTCATTATACGTTGACTACTCGTTTAAAGTACTCTCATACGAGTTTCCATTCAGGTCCAATGAATACAACAACAGATCAACAACAACATCAGTCACCAAATTGGCAGAACACCAGCATTCCCATGCATGATGATGACATCAATCAGCTGAAAGCGGCTTTAAAGACATTTCAACAACAAGAAGAACTTCCTGCAAATGAAAGAGCACATCATCAACATCATTTTGTTATCGAGTACTTAGCACTTGGACTAAGTATATTAATACTATGCATTATCATAGTTCGATATACGCATAAACGAAGAAAGCGGAACAACAATCCAGTACCTCAACCCCGAACTCGACAACAACAATCAAAATTCGAAGTAGACGTAGAAGCACAGATTTGACCGAAGTCAACAGGAGGGAGAATGTTAAGTTTCATATTAAATCCATTATCATTGTATCAATTATTATAATTGTTTTCTTATTATTGTATTATTATTGTCAATTATTATAATTGTATTCTTATTAGTGCATTAATTATATGTGTACATAAGCACCTAAATTAGTTCTTATGTTGTTTTTGTTGTTGGTGTTTATTTGTGTTATCAAACATTTTTAGCTATGTTGCTGGCTCTCACAACTAAATATTCGCACGCTAGCAGCGTGCCAGACGTAACATGATCATCTTCACACGCCACTGTGCAAGGTTGATAAGCATTATGTTCATTTTCTTTTATCGTGTGTTCGTTGTGAGTTACAGCAATAGGCAAGTCGCTGCGACAATTCTGTTGTTCCCACAGGTGCAATATGAGTTGGCGCATGGCTTCAGTGATAACACATTTAAGTCACCAAATTTGTGAAGCAGGTTGATATATGGCAAAATACATATATCAGCTTGCTGATTGCATTAAATAGTATAAGCATAGGTAATGCACATATTTCCCACGAATGCCCTTGGCCTTGAATGTTCAAAGTCCATCGGATAACAAATCGTGGGAACTGGGTGCATTTCCTCATTTACCATAAGCTTAGTGTTAAGAATTTTGTATAAAAGCACAACATTTTTAATAAACATTGGATTCAATTTAACAACCTGAATACAACCAAGTGTTTTCTTTTGGTTTAAGTGCCTAAAAGAACCTTGAGCAAAGTCGGTTTATGTGCCGAATTTGAAAATCAATAATAAAAATGAAATAAACAAATAAATATCTATATATATATTTACATATATATCTAGATATCTATAAATTACGTAACTGGTTCATGTGCCGGATTACGTAAGTGAATTACTAAGCTGGTTAAAGTGCCGGATTAGTGAATCCGTATCAGACTAGATACGGAGGATAACATATCGTGAAAAGCTAAGCTGGTTCAAGTGCCGGATTAGCTTCAGTCCGTATCAAACTAGGTACGGATCATAACAATTACTAATCCAGAATATTCTGGAACGGATAAACAAATTCAAATATTAAAAATGAGTATCAGATCGTTCTACTTTTCTACTGTTTGATGAAAAATAAGTATAATTCGTAAAAAGAATAAATTCGATGATATTAAATAAAATCGTAAAGTATTTATTTAATCAAAATTTTTATTTATTTATAATTATTATTTATGCTATGTATTATTTATAATTATGCTATGTATTATCATACTAGTATGCGGTCTTTTGGGAATTAAACGAGCAGTTTATTCTTGCTTTCAAAGCCACGTCGTCAATGATCTGATGAAATCTGTAATAAGAAATCTAAATATTAGTATTGCTTTTTGAACTACAAAATCTTATTAAAATATATATATATATTATCAGATGGTGATGCATGTTAAAAGATTTCTGCATTATTTATCAGTTTAGGGGAGAAAATATCATCATTTTTTTAAGACGTATATAAATTTAAAAGTATTTCAGTTTATTTACCTTTTCAAAGCATCGTTATTCCATCAAATATTATTGATTTTATTAATTATAGTATGTATTATCGTAAAGCAGTCTTCTTGAAATTAAACGAGCATTTTATACTTGCTTTCAAAGTCACATCGTCATTGATCAGATGAAATCTGTAATAAGAAATTTTAATTTTAGTATTGTTTTTTGAACTATAAAATTTTATTAATATGTTTATATATATTATCAGATGGTGATGCATGTTCGAATATTTCTGCATTATTTATCAGTTTAGGGTGAGAAAATATCATCACTTTTTTAAGACGTATATGAATCTATACGTATTTCAGTTTATTTACCTTTTCAAAGGAACGATATTCTATCAATGTTCTATTTGCAAAAATAAAGCTTGATAAAAACTGCAATAGATATGATGACAATGAACTCATCTAACTCAAGGTAGATTGTTCCATAAAATTATTATCAGTATGATGATTTATGTATTAGCTAGAAAGATAAAAAAAACTTTATAATTATGCTATCGTATAAAAACATTGTAGTATGGTTTAATTCATTAAGTTTATTTCAGATGGTGATGCATGTTAAAAGATTTCAGCATCTTTAATCAGTTGTGGGTTATGAATTATCATCATATATATATTATGTTCACATAGTTAGATATCGAAGCAGTATTAGAACACTCATTAAGAACATGCTATACACATATTTTTTTTTTTTTGATTAAATAATGACATTAATTTTAAATCCGCTATATTTAATTATTAATTAACAATATTTTTTTTGTTGAGTTTTTTAATGAGTACTTTTAATCTGTGTGAATATAGAATTGATAGTTATTTTAATTTATTAGTTACTTACCTTCTAAAGAAAAGTCATGGATTAGCATTTTGGACATTGAGCAGCTGCAAGTAGTCTATTTCTGAACTACTAAACTACAACAACCGAAGTGACATGCGTCGCTACCGTTGGAGATTAGCAGTTTTCATAACTGCATATTTAACGTCTTCAGCAATAAATAAAACATGGCCAATACTCTGTACTTTATTGCACTATATCAATCTAGCTTGCTGTTGTTGTAGTCCCTTTTGGAAGTGTTGAACGAAATTTAGTTATGAAATTCAACAAGTGGCTCCGACACATTGACCCGGCCCCTCTTGGAACCATTCATCTAGCTTGAGATTTATTAGTCGTAAAAGTTCATTGAAACCAACAGTTCATTGAAATATTAGATCTTTAAATATGCACACATGCTAGCGAAGTTGAATGTTACAGCATAATCCATATGAAGAATTGTTAATTTCATTCCTTATGGACAATTCCTGATATTCGTTTTTATGCTGATGCAGTTCCGCACATGTTAATAAATTTCTTAGCACCACAGTCTACTAGCAATGTTACAACTGGCACGTGTTATAATCATTTTCACACCCAAATTGGTTGCAGAATTTTATCAATTTTAAATCCACATTTAAAGCACGCTTCCAGCTTCCTTCCCTTAAACATGACGACCCACGTGCGTTGTGTAAGCAAATGGCATTACACATTTTTGGCGGAAGAAAATTGGTTGTCATATGACGCTAAGATAAATTTATCTTATAAAATCATCTCAAATCTATTGTGATTTTTTCTTTATAGTAATTATTGTGAATGCATATCAGCTGTTGACAGCTTTTGATTTGTTTAACCGGTCGTAAAAATAATAGTTATAAGAATTTCAATTAAAATTATTGTAAAATAAATTAAAAAAATTAATTAAATAAATATTTTGCAAGAAATATTAGTGTAATATATATAGTGCAATTTATTACAATTCCACCACACTGTAGGAACTTTTGTTTACATGGCATTCCATTGGTGCGAAAATGTACACACAACTGCTTTTACTCCCAGAGACTATCAAGTTGAATTGGTGGCAGCTGCATATGAAGAAAATACCATTATATGTTTGGGACATAAGTCCTCAAAAGAATTTATAGCATTAAAACTCTTGCAAGAATTGTCTAGAGAAGCACGCGAAACGCTTAAAATTAGTTTATATCTTACATGTAATAGTAACTCAATATCCATATCAACCATGCTGGATCATCTTACGGATTTAAAAGTCTTCCAACAAGTTAATGATAAAGAAAATGTTAACATATTCTCCACTTATTATCATGTTTATATGGTGCATCCTAGTTTATGCATAGCTGCACTAAAAAGTAAAGTTTTAAAATTGGAAAATATCAACCTTTTAATATTAGAAGATTGTCACATTGTTAATGTGTATACGGAGATATTACCGCTATTTGCTATTATAATGCATAATAGTTATGGCGTATCGTCACCGAAAATATTAGGTTTAGCTGGTCCATTACACAGTGCAGGCTGTTCGCTACAGCAGTTGAGTGCAATGTTAAATACGCTGGAGAGAAATACGTTGTGTAAAGCTGAAACTGCTAGTGATATTGTTACCGTACTTAGGTAATAAACTGTTTGTTATACTTATTATATATATAATTTTGAGTTTATTTTAATATATTTTGTTTTTGTTTTTTGCAGATACTGTTCAAAACCATACGAATATATTGTGCAGTGTAAACCATATAATAAAGATGAACTGAGCTTTTTACTTGAGGACATTATTTCAACACGGAAAGTGTTTCTACAAGACCATCGCTATGATCCTACCGAAATATATAATACTGAAGAATTCCTTGAAGAGCTTAAAGGTTTGATTATATTGCTATAAAGAGTTATAAATTTTATATATAATTTAATGTTGTTTTGGTTCGAGAAAATCTATGTAACAAATAATATGAAAGGAACTACAAATAAGCATACTTGGGTTAGGATTTGGTTACACAAAAGTGTGAAAGAGAAGGGCATTATTTGCGATTAAGAGCGGATAATGGATGGGAGGGATTGTAATTGAAACCATACTCGGTGAACCCGAAAACCTAGGCATTTTAATAGGATGAGTGACACCGTGGGGAAAAGCAGCTGGGCGACATCATAAAGGGTGTAGCTACAGTTTGGGCACACATTAAGAATATAGTTTTTTATTAACTAAACTGTACCCTGATATTGAGTTATGTATTTGCATATATGATATATATGGCATAAAAAACATACCGTTAGTGTGAATGGGTCTATGTTCAAAATTAATGTATCAATGTTGTTGCTGTTATCCGCTGAGATTTACTTGTAAAATCCTTTTGGGGTGGAGTTAATCTTCAGTTAATAGATTCTGCTTACACCGTACACACTCAGCAGTCTAAACACTTGCTGTATCTAAAACAAACCAATCAATAATAAAATTATTATTAGAATTACAAGCTTAAAATCCAGGCAAAGTCGAGCATAATAGATCTTTTATGTTCACATCCTTAATTATTAAAGTACACAGTTATATAGCCTTTAAATATTTAGTAATATTAACGTACTTAGTATTCATTTTAATATACAATAGATATACAAATTCATAAATTCATATTATTTTGCAGATATACCTGATCCGAAAAAGGAACCGCTTGAGTTTCTTGATATAATAATGACAGTATTGCATGAGATGGGTCCTTGGGCTACTGATCGCGTTGCTCTTAGTTTATTTCAAACAATTGAAAGGCGAAAAATAAAGACACCACACGAACGTCACTTCTTGCTTTTGAGTATGGTAAATACAGCACTCATAGAGATTCATGCCGTGTGTGAAACCACATTTCGTAAAACTTCCAAACACAAAAAGCTTGTAGAACGTTATTCCAGTCCGAAGGTCTTGCGTTTGCTGGAAGTGCTAAGATTATTCAAGCCCACAGACTTTGTTACAGACAATGAAAAAATAAAAAAAATGAACACAGAATTAGATGAAATGGATTTTCAACGTATATCGCGTGCCGTAGAACAAAGTTGTCAAAATGTAGAAAATATCACAAGACATCAATTGGAATCACGTTCAATAGTCGATAATTTGGATTCAATTATTAAGATAACTGACACAACTGATGCGCTAAGTAAAACTCTAAGCAAGAGTTTAAAAATAAATACAAACAAAAAAGGAGAGAAGCACCAACACAATTCGCATCATAGGCGACATGGTGGAGCACACGGTCGTACGCGTAGAAGACCATTCACACGTAGACAAATGCGTGATAGAGATGATGGTTCCGATACATTATGTGCTATAATATTTTGTAATATGAATCATACTGCTCGGGTACTATTCGATTTGCTGGCCGAAATGAGCAGACATGATCCAGATTTAAAATTTCTAAGATGCCAATATACTACCGATCGTGTTGCGGATCCTGTTACTGAACCCAAGGAGGCAGAAGCCGAGCATCGGCTTCAAGAAGAAGTACTAAAAAAATTTCGTATACATGATTGTAATGTATTGATTGGTACTTCAGTGCTGGAGGAAGGTATTGATGTGCCAAAGTGCAATTTAGTTGTACGCTGGGATCCTCCAACAACATATCGTAGCTATGTACAGTGTAAGGGTAGAGCTAGAGCTACACCTGCGTATCATGTGATATTAGTTGCACCAGAATTTGACATTTCAACCTATACGCCGCATAATAAAAATGAGCAATTGTGCAATGAAAGTCATTTCCTTACTTGTAAGTTAAGTGATAATGAAGGTGAAGATTTGGATATAACCGATAATTCGGATACTGAAAGTAAAAGTAAACCCAATCAGTATATATTTGATGCACCGCGTGGTACTGTAAAAATACTTAATCCTGAAGTTTTAACAAATAAACCTCCCACGACAAGCGATATTCACTTAAAAGAAATAAAAGATGAAAACTGTACTGTAGAGGAACTAACTATTGATCTTCAAGAAGATAAAAATTTAAAATGTATCACAAATGGCTTGGATTATGAAATCAAAAATGAAAGCCCTATAACAGCAGAAAACTCCATGTCCAATCCGAGTGATGAATACAAAAAGAGTTGTGAAGTTGTAGACACCAATGAAATACATAAAGTGAAAAAGAAGAAACGTTTTCAATGCATACTCATGGAGAAAGGGATCAAGTTGATTCCACTCACTGAATTTCAAACTTATGAAAATGAATCATTAAATATGCATGCAGCAACAATAAGAATCGTTGATCAATTAGCACAATATAGAGAAATCGAAAAGGTATTGTTTTTTTTTTATTTTTTTTTCAACGTCATATTAAGTAACTGCTATATATAAATTTTTTTTGCAGATGTTGCTGCAAAAATGTGCTAATTTTGAGCCACCTGAAGAGGAACATAATCTGGCGGATCAGTATGTTAACTGTATTCTGCCTTACAAACCACAACCGGATTTACTAACCGGTGCATCTGTAGATTTATGCACTTCAATAGCATTAGTAAATAAATATTGCTCAAAATTGCCTAGTGATACCTTTACGAAATTAACAGCGCTCTGGCGTTCCACGGAAATTGTACGCTGTGGTGTTAAAATGTATCAATATACACTACGTTTGCCCATAAACTCACCACTTAAATATGATATTGTGGTGAGTTTAATATTTTCTTTTTTTTTTTTTTTTGTTAATTAAAAAATGATGAAGCAATTGAAAGATCCACTTGTTATATTGAAACCATGAGAATATATGGCGTAGTGTATATTTCATTAAAAAAAAAATATGTTTATGCAAGACGTTGGCGCATAAAGAATGAGTCCTTAGGTTTTTTTTTTTGAAATGTATAGATAACGTTTGGAAGTCTAAGCATAACTAGGCAAAAAAAAGTTTTTCACTCTAAAAAAATTATTTCTTTACCACAGCATATTTATACTTATTGCTTCTCTCAAACAAGTCAAGGTTTAAAGTTCCAAACCCTTTAAAGAGCTAAAAGTTACAAAGTATGCAGTTGTTCGTGCAATCTTCATCAGACGGGCTAAGCACCCACAATATTGTTGAACATAAATTATATTTATCTCAATTAAATAGTGCACTCTTTGAACATAGAAATCTCTACCTCTTACTCCCAAAATTCTTAGTAAATTTTCTTCACTTTCTGTGCTAAAGAGACTTTCTCGATTCTATTCATATCAAACGTTGAATTCAACATACCTACGATTACTGGATACAAAGTAAAAGATGTTGTTGAAGGTATTGTGGTCAAAGACAATTATTTGACTCTACTTATATCAATTGTTGAACTTAAGACCACTAAATCCAAATTAAAGGGTATAGTATAGTCTCCAAAAGAGTTTACAAGCAGGTATTGGTTTGTATTTGACATTTGTCGACATAACGTTCTCTATTCCTCTGATTGGCAAACAGTACATAACGTTTTTAAGTTTAATTTGAAGGGAGTTCTTTCGTTCTTTTAATTATTCTCCCTCACGAAAGCCGAATCTATATATTATAGATAAACATATTCTTCCTTTTTTGTGTTGAAGATGAATACTTACTCTTGCTCTTTCTTACGTTATTATAATAAAGAAAGTAGAAGTCACAATTTTTTAAATATTTTTTGGTAAAAATTATTAACATGAAACTATCCCGTCGTATATATTTTGTTATTACTTACTTTGCACCATAATTTACACCACTTGAAATATTCTAAATTTACAGGGTCTGCCCATGCCAACAAATATCTTAGCTAGAAGACTGACAGCTTTACAAACTTGCATCGAATTACATAGATCTGGAGAATTAGACAATAATCTAACACCTATAGGCAAGGAAGGGTTTAGAGCTATTGAACCAGATTGGGAAAATTTTGAATTGGAAGCACAAGACGAAAAAATTGTTAAAGAAAATTCTGAACCAAGACCTGGTACGACAAAACGGCGACAGTATTATTATAAACGCGTAAGTATTTCATTTATTTTCATAATAATTCAATATAAAAATATTTTAACTTAATTTGTAGATTGCTACTGAATTTTGCAATTGCCGCCCAACTGCTAATGCACCCTGTTACCTCTACCTATTAGATCTCACACTGCAATGTCCCATACCTGAAGAACAAAATACGCGAGGTCGTAAAATTTATCCACCTGAAGAAGCTTTACAAGGTTTCGGTATATTGACATTAAAAAAAATACCAAAAGTCAGTTCGTTTCCTATATTTACACGTTCCGGTGAGGTGAAAGTATCTATAGAACTATTTTCTGAACCTATAGTATTAACGACAGAACAAGTGAATTGCATTAATATTTTTGTTAATTATACTTTTACCAACGTATTGCGTCTACAAAAGTTCCTAATGCTCTTTGATCCCGATTCAACGGAGAATTGCTTATTTATAGTGCCAACGATAAAAACGAAAACGGGAAAAGTTATTGATTGGGATTTTTTGCAGTTAATCGAGAAAAATGCTGATATGATGCCAACTGAAATTCCCGATGAAGAACGTAAGATTATGGATTTCAATGGAAATAAATTTAAAGATGCCGTTGTAATGCCTTGGTATCGCAATCAAGATCAGCCACAGTACTTCTATGTAGCCGAAATTTGTCCACAACTTTCTCCGCTTAGCTGTTTTCCTGGTGAAAACTATCGCACTTTTAAGCATTATTATTTTCTTAAATATGGTTTAACTATACAGAATGTAACACAACCTCTGCTGGATGTTGATCATACTAGTGCTCGTTTAAATTTTCTTACTCCACGATATGTTAATCGTAAAGGTGTTGCACTGCCTACGAGTTCAGAAGAGACTAAACGTGCCAAACGTGAGAATTTAGAACAAAAGCAAATATTAGTGCCGGAACTGTGTACAGTACATCCATTTCCCGCTTCATTGTGGCGTACAGCAGTATGTCTACCCTGTATATTGTATCGTATTAATGGTTTACTTTTGGCTGATGATATACGTAGGAAAGTGTCAGCCGATATGGGTCTAGGACAACGCGAGGTATGTAATGATGAATTTGAATGGCCAATGTTAGATTTTGGTTGGAGTTTATCGGAGGTCTTGAAAAAATCAAGAGAAAACCAAAATGGTGTTGAAAATAATCCTAAAGAAAATGAGAACAACGCCAAAATAACTGAAAAAACAGTAGATGATATGAATACTGATCAATCTATCAAAACGAAATCGGAAAAAAGTGCTAACGAAATAGTGATTGATGCCGAAAGAAAGTTTCAGGTAATTATGATTTTTATTTTGCATAAATATATATTATTGTTGATTGCAATTCCCATAAGATGTGATTTATAATATTGTTCAGAATGAAGTGCAAAAATTTTCAATTTGTACAACCAAACTTTTGTGCAGCTTTGACTCATCTGGTTAAACAACACGCGTAGTTATTGTTTCCTTTAATTCCTTAATTCCTTTAATTAACAGATTCAGAGTTCAAAACCTGACACTTGTAGTCCAACAATTATATACAAACAATCAGCCTTAGCAATCTTATGATTTTTCTGCCAATCGTCTAGCATTATACCAAAGGATTTTATCGACGATTATCCATAGTACTTAATCATTACAAAAAATTCTTGAATTTTGATGCCAAAAAATAGCAAACATCGTTCTCAACTTGAAAAAGAAGAATTTTAGGGGACTCTCTGGTGCACTAACAGAACACGCCGCCTGCATTAAACACCTACACAAAATATGTATATCCGACACAAATATTTGCAGATTTTACTGTGATGAGGAAGAGTCTATGGAACATCTGACCAACGAGTGTAATGCGCTAGGGTACAGAAAAAACAAAATTTTAGATGTATACCAACTAGAGCATGAAGACCTTCGAAAACTGGTTCGATTGCACGAGATACTAAATGTCTAAATATAAAAGATCGAGATAGTCGCAGTGCATAAAGATCTTAGCCTCCTAAACCATTACCATTTCATAGTACTTCTAAAGTCCGTCCTTGGTCTCAGTATTGGTTTTGTTATTCGAAAACTAATCCTAGATAAGCACACGATTATATTTTAATGGAGTTCGGTTTGAAACCTTTAGCATAGGGTACTTAATGTTTTTGTTGTTTTAGTACACAGGGATCTTCTTTTAAAATTCTTTTGGGGTGTTGCACTTGATCGTCGTGATTGAAGAATGGCTCCTGAACATAAACCTGACCGTTCTTGGAACCACAATACTTAATAAAAACTCTTGATTGATAGTTTCCGTAAAATAACATTGATTAAAATATCTTTTAATAATTTTCAGGAAAGCAATTTTATTGAAATTGGAACTTGGTCGAATGATATGGCTGAAGATATTAACTTTTATAGAAATGATGATTATAATAATGAAGATGATGAAGAAATGAAGATGAAATGTATACCCTCGAATATTAGTTTTTGTAAGTATAAGATAATAATTTGTTTAAAAGTGGATTCAGTACAAAAAAAAAAGGAGAAAACAAAACAATGAACAAAAAGAAGAATCGCCAAGAATTATATTATATTTTATAAATATAGGTCGAAATACAAAAAATGAAATTTTTGGATTTCTTTAAATAGATTTGTACTGTATTGATATAGAAAAACTTATATACAATATTCTTTGACTTCTTATAAATAATAAATCTATATAAAATTTATAATTTAATAGGTAACGAAGAACCGCGTTATGGTTCTCCAACTTTTTGGGACTATAAGGATAAAGTTTCGGAAACAGATAATCCAAAATGGAAAAGTAATTTTAAAAAAAATTCATTTACATATTACGAATCAGATGATTCATTTGCTTCGAGTTGTGATATGAACGGGGCGATCAACTATAGCACCGATGAAGATGACGATGCTAATTCTGGTGCTTTACGTATTGCTTTTACATCCAAAAATGAAGCAGAAACAATAGAAACTGAATCTGACATAGAGAAGCGCAACAAACAAATATCCATCATACAAGCCACTAATGCCAATGAATTGAATTACCAGAAAACAAAGAATTTACAAGTAGGTTACGATTTCGTTATATCAAAAAATGATATTATGGAATCTGAAATCGAAAGCTCTATAAAGAAATTCATTAAATCCACGCAACATTTAGTCGACGACATAAATAACTCTGGCATGATGGTGCCATATAATAATAAAATTAATTTACCCAGAAAGACTGCGAACATCAAAAGTGTAAATCAGTTGTTCACATTGTCGGAGTGCATCCACAAACTTTTACCTTACGTGACTAAAGAAGTTTTGGATAAACTATTGGAAAATGGTATCAAATCATTGACAGTGGAAGATTTGTTTGAATTCAATTTGGCATATGTGACACAGCATCCCAAAGAACTTTTTACAATTATAGGTACTGGTGATATGTTCGATAATTTCAATGATAAAGCCAATATTATCATAACGCACATGGAGCACAAAATAACAAAGAGTATTCAATTAAATTTTGATAGAAAAACTAATTTAAAAGCAATACATAGCTCAATAATTGCTGAAAGAAATCCCAGCAATATAAAACCCATGCATTTCAGTTTTGATTATCAACCTGATTTGCAGGGGCATCCCGGACCTAGTCCGAGTATAATATTACAAGCACTCACCATGTCGAATGCTAATGATGGCATAAACTTGGAACGACTTGAAACTATAGGTGATTCATTCCTTAAATATGCCATAACCACATATTTGTATATCACGTACGATAACGTGCACGAAGGTAAACTTAGCCATTTGCGTTCTAAGCAAGTCGCCAATTTGAATTTGTATCGGTTGGGGCGTAGAAAAAACTTAGGTGAATATATGATCGCAACAAAATTTGAACCGCATGACAATTGGTTACCACCTTGTTATTATGTGCCAAAAGAGCTGGAGAAGGCGTTAATTGAAGCTAAGGTAAATGTAATATTCAATCCTAGACATCTTGTAGAAAGATGTCTGATGCTACTGACCAGTTCTTTTATAGAGGATTGGACAATTCTATAGAAGTTACCTAGGATTTTATAATGTTAAGTTAAATTAATCTTAATATATTATTATCACAGATACCACCGCATCATTGGAAGTTGGTCGATTTACCGAATATTAAGAAACTAAGTAGTACTGAGATATGCAAACTAGTACGAGATAAAGCTGAAGAACTTGGTTTATACGATGATGTAAGTTTGAAATATTGTATTGAAATTATTTTAATGGATTTCATTTTTAAATTCAACTATAGTGAAAGAAAATTATTTTACTAAATGAAGGGTTTTTTGAATAGTAGTAAATTACAACAACAGAATTTTATTTGCATTTTTTTAATGTCCATACATGTTTCGAGTATTGATACTTATCATCGCTATTCTTTCGGAATAGTTGTTAGTTTTATAAGACCTACGCACAAATAACTGTTATTTTTGCCTTATAGATATAAATATCGAGAATAACTCTTATTTTTGCAAACAAAATATAACTCACAATGGCCTGACGAATATTTTTACAAACGAAAATATTAAATGTATTCTTCATACAAGGTAGTTGTTTTTGTAATTTGTACAAAATGTGTTAGTCACTTCAATAGGACCGACATTCATTTTAATTGGACACAACTTGGTATGTGAACTGGGACTCGAAAACTGATGGGCAATATCATGGAAGATATAGCTGCAGTTATGTTATACTTTGAAGTTACTATTCAGCACATGACTATACCCTGATCTCAATTGGGGTAAGACAATTCTTGCTACACTGAGAAAGCGTGGTTCTTTCCGGGAGTTACTACGCGGAGACCTGTTGAGAACTGTTGAAACCTTGAGATTAGGCGGAGGCCTGTGCTAAAATTCAATAATTATTTTATATTACTTTCTCCAGGTTTACATAGGAAACAATTTTAATATCTTGGAGATAGCTTCCTATATGGCCTGGCAGATTAAATGGTTTCAGACTTATAATACATGCAGATAGCAACGATTAATCTAACTCAACTTTTCCAAGAAATTTTGTGGGTATGACAATAAACAATAGATGTCTTCGAGTGAAAATATTGATAGTTGTATAAACAGATGCCTTCTTACCCCTTATCTCATCCACATAACTCTTATTAATTTACCGTTATTTGCTTGTTTTCTTCTGCTCTTTGTTTGCAAAATCATTCATGTCGTATTAAGTGATATATTTAGATACATAATTCAATACCAACTTCCATTTAATATATTTGATATTTATTTAAAGTTAAACGTTAACTAATTCTTATTTCATTTCCGTTAAGGATTCTAGCAGCGAAACAGGTGCAAATGGTTTAACGGAAAACCCTGAAGGAAATGATTTTTCCTGTTTCATTCCCTATAATTTGGTAACCCAACATAGCATACCTGGTAATAAATTTTATGGAACTTTTGTGACTTATATATAATTTTCTAAAAAAATAATTTATCTTACAGATAAATCCGTGGCAGATTGCGTTGAAGCATTAATTGGTGCATACTTAATAGAATGTGGCTCCCGTGGAGCGTTATTATTCATGGCTTGGCTCGGAGTACGTGTTTTACCTTTTGAAATAAAACCATATAATGCAGCTGAGCCACGAATACCTGGCAGCACGAATCCAGATGAGGAAAATATGATAAAAATATATGGTGAATGGGCACCACCAAAGAGTCCACTATTGCATTATACACCAAATGCCGCAAAAGAGTTAGAATCTATGCTACAAGGATTCGATGAATTTGAAAATATTTTGGGTTACAAATTTCAAGATCGTTCCTATTTATTACAAGCTATGACCCATGCTAGCTATTCACCAAATCGGCTTACGGATTGCTATCAACGGCTAGAGTTCCTAGGCGATGCAGTGTTGGATTATTTAATAACAAGGCATTTATATGAAGATCCTAGACAGCACTCACCAGGTGCTTTAACAGATTTGAGATCTGCACTTGTTAACAATACAATATTTGCTTCACTGGCTGTGCGACATGGTTTTCATAAATATTTTCGGCATTTATCGCCAGGTTTGAATGAGGTTATCGATCGTTTTGTGCGTATACAAAGTGAAAATGGACATAGTATTAGCGAGGAGGTAAGCGTATGAATATCTAAGGATGGTATAAAGAAGTTATTATAATTTTATTTTATAATGTTTGCAGTATTACCTCTTGTCGGAGGAGGAATGTGATGATGCTGAGGATGTTGAGGTGCCCAAAGCTTTGGGTGATGTGTTTGAATCAATTGCTGGTGCAATATTCTTGGATTCAAATATGTGTCTGGATGTAGTGTGGCAAGTTTATAGTAATATGATGAAACCAGAAATCGAGCAGTTTAGTAATTCAGTGCCAAAATCACCTATTAGAGAACTACTTGAATTAGAACCGGAAACAGCGAAATTTGGGTAAAAAATTATTTTAAATATTTTTAATATTTATTCATTTTATGTTTTCTTTTGTGTAGAAAACCGGAAAAACTGGCAGATGGTAGACGTGTCCGTGTAACTGTCGAAGTTTTCTGTAAAGGTGTTTTTCGTGGCATTGGTCGTAACTATCGCATCGCAAAATGCACTGCGGCTAAATGCGCTTTACGTCAATTAAAAAAGCAAGGACTGCTTTCCAAAAAGGATTAAATCAATGTAAATTGAAGTAGAATTATTATGTCGTACAATATTTTAATTTTTAAATATGAAGTATTTTATTAGATTTAGGTTTTGTATTATATTAGTTAGAGTAACAAATTATTTATGATGATTTCAATACCTTCTTATTTTACATATAATATTTTATTACTCGTAACTGCATTCTGCATAGTCAACTTATATATGTATAAAACTAAAACTAGTCCAAAACTATTTTATTTACGTGATAATTTCACATAAGTTTTTACTCTAATAGTCAACTTGAACTTTCTATACTCACTAACTCCACTATTAGGTTTAAATTGGTATTTTTAGTCTTAAGATATATACAATATTAAGGAGTATATTTTATAAAATTTCATAATGAATATGTTTTATAATGAATTTTATCTAATACTGAAATAAAGAATTGATTAATTATATATATATAATATTCATTTTATTCAAGAATTAGAATTCACGTAAAAAACATTTTTAAATGCTATTTTATAGTTCAATACAATATGAAATAAACACAGCCTTTTTATCCTTTAGCAGCTTTTGCTTTGCTTTTAACTTTTTTGACACGTTTTAAACCATCCATGTTACTCTTCATAAATTGACCATATAGCGACATCATTGTAGGCACATCCTCTTGACGGACTATAGTTGAAATCTTAAATAATGCAAATAATGAGAAGCTTTTAAAATTA